GTGGCAGGTCAAAATGCAGGGAGGCACTGGGATCATGCAAAGATCGTGACTGGGTTGTAATCTACAAATCAGGTCAAACAGTGGGGGTAAAAGCCAGTGGACCAAATCCAGCACTGCCGTAAGCAGATGCCTCTCCATTAAGGTCACTGGAGTGCAGTGAAGTCCTCCATCCCCTTTCTATGGCTGGTTTTCAGTGACCACCTAATTTCTTAATGGAACATTTTTCTTTTGAAAATCCACCATCCCATCTAGGAGAGGGTGACACCAGGGCTTACCCTCTCATGAGTACTGAAGTAAAACTTGGCTCGAATTTCATTGTGAAGGAAGTCAGTTAACACTATACCATATAAAGGTAGTGGTGGGAACTGCGAGGCCACATGAGGGTAACTTTGTTTAGCACGCTGCAGAAATGCTATTACAGTTACATAGTTTTTGCTGGCAAAAATATTAAAATTGTATCCATGTCACATGTCTTTGCGGTTGCTTTCCTGAGTAGAATGGGTCTTTTGTCCTGACCGAAAAATACTTGCACAAGATGCAGTTTTTTCCCTATGTTAAGGCCAAATTCTGCCCTCAGTTTTAGCCACACCACCTTATTGAAAACAGCTGCCTGGATGTAGCAGAGAATAGAATTTGGTCCTTATGGTGTAAATATTTTTAAGCATCTTCTTAGTGTTAATGATATTGTAAACAAGTTCACTCCTTTATTAAATGTTACACGCTGCAAGATTTCAGTAACGGCCCCAAGGCTTCATAGCAATGAATCCTAGTCAATATCCTCTTTCAGAGTAACAGCCGTGTTAGTCTGTATTCGCAAAAAGAAAAGGAGTACTTGTGGCACCTTAGAGACTAACCAATTTACTTGAGCATAAGCTTTCGTGAGCTAAAACCCACTTCATCAGATGCATCGTGGGTTGTGCAGTCCACCACCAATGACCCATTCCTTTTTCTGTTTGCAAAACCTGGCTCTGTCTCTGGTGTCAATTCTAAACTCACTTATGTCCTTCCTGCATCTCACTAAACTGATCGCAAAGGTAGAGTCCTTAGCTACAACAATTCTGTCTTCCGGATGCATAGAGAGACAAGGTGGGTGAGGTAATCTCTTTTATTGGACCACCTTCTGTTGGTGAGAGGGACCTGAAGAACAGCTGTGTGTGGCTCACAAGTTTGCCCTCTCACCAACAGAAGGTGGTCCAATAAAAGAGATTACCTCACCCACCTTGTCTCTCTATGCATCCAGAAGACAGAATTGTTGTAGCTAAGGACTCTACCTTTGCGATCAGTTTAGTGAGATGCAGGAAGGACATAAGTGAGTTTAGAATTGACACCAGAGACAGAGCCAGGTTTTGCAAACAGAAAAAGGAATGGGTCATTGGTGGTGGACTGCACAACCCACGATGCATCTGATGAAGTGGGTTTTAGCCCACGAAAGCTTATGCTCAAATAAATTGGTTAGTCTCTAAGGTGCCACAAGTACTCCTCTTCTTTTAGTGAATATCCTGACCACCTCCCTGGCCTGGATCCTATGGTTTTAACTGACCAGGAATTTCCTAATGGAATATTTATTTGTCTTTTTAAAATTCATTACCCCATCAATGGGAGTGTTACAGTAAGAGTCCCCGTGCAAACACATACTTACGTAAAACTCCCGTTGACTTCAATCAGACTCCTACAGTGACACACGTGGGAGTCTTGCACAAGTAAAATGAGTCAGATTTCATCCTGAAATCCAAGTGTGTGCCCTAAACACTTAACACAAAGGAGAAATCAAAGATGTGTTCACCTGGGATTATGTAACTGTATGTTCCTGCTGTCATCCATTCTATTACAATGCTCGTGCACAGACTGATGTACCCAAAAGACATTCATATTGACTTCTGCAGTGCTAGGGGGGAAAGCAGCAACATAAAATTTGTCAATGGAATCTGATTACTTTACAAAACACATAGTAAACGATATTGCTAAAATGAATAATTGGGATCTATTAATAATCTAATACCAATGTTCAGATTACAGAATGGAATCAGTCAATTGTCCTAGATTCCAGATTTTCTTAATCTCACACAGGATGTGTTGAATCCTGAGGTCCCTTCTCAGAGCCCTCACAGGGCTTAATATTTTTGTATGTAATGAAAATCAAAACCATACTCATCCACTTTCCCTTTAGTTCCTTTGGCTCTATTGGCTAAATATTTGGGGGAGTCTTTTTCTTTCTTTTCACTTGTTTTTAATTTCTAAACATGATAGCTCCTTTAAATAGAATTAACTGTTTATGTCTCTTGTTTTTTTAACCATCTGCTATGCTCATGACACTTTAAAGTGTTAACTGCTAAATTGATTGAATTGCCTTTTTCTTTTACACATTCTTTACTCTGCATTAACTTGAATCTTTCACTTTTGTTACTTTTTTAAACACTTTTTTATTTCAACTGATTCTTTTTCTCTGCATTTTATTTTTGTCTACCAGTTTTCTCACAGGTCTGGATGGGGCCAAAATACCATTAACTCTTCTATCAGGAGACTTGTATGGCACCTGTGTTCTCTTTTGCTATTTGCTAGCTCACCTGTACAACTTAATTTGAAAGCAAAAGCGGGTCCCCTTAATGGATGAAACTGGCATTCAGCTCCTCTGGATACATGGTTGCCAGGGTCCATCCAAACTGTAAAAAGCAGTTTTATTCTTACCAGCCATTCTGTACAAGTGGCATTGTTAGGTTCCCTTATTGTCATTTCTTAATGATGTCCCTATCAAATATGTTGGGCTTACAGTGGGGAAAAAAATCCTTTTGTTAAGTTCAAGTTGGAAATCTGAAAAGCAGGTTGCTTTCCTGCACCTCACAATCAGAAATAACAGTTGTGTAGGACAAATTGTCATCAATCACACACACACGCCCCGCCCCCGTAAGCCTGTTGCCTCAAAAGGGCATTCCCAGGAGTAACCCAGCAGAGCGCAGTAAGCGTGTGGCTGATGTGAATGGAATCCACCACCACGTCTTGCCTAAAGAGTAAAACTATGGGGGGGGGTTGTAACTAAAGCCAGCAGCTGTGACTCTGAACACACCCAAGGAGCACATGTGTTAAGAAAGTAGGTGCTGATTTCATGCGGGTGGTTTTCAGCAGAAATGCATGTATACTTCACGCACACACGTTCCAGCCACTGGTCCTAACAAAGCCACCAGATTCTCTGTGGATTCCTACAGCCGGCTTACCCTGTACTGCTAATGGGTGGGCAATCATCTATTACAGTAGTTCTCAAACTGCGGGTCACAACCCCAAAGTAGGTCATGACCCTGTTTTAATGGGGTCGCCAAGGCTGGCGATAGACTTGCTGGGGCCCAAGTCTGAGCCCCACTGCCTGGGGCCAAAGCCCAAGGGCATCAGCCCTGGGCTGCAGGGCTCAGGCTTTGGCTTCAGCCCTGTGCATCGGTGCTCAGGTCACAGGCCCCCCCATCCAGGGCTGAAGCCCTGGGCTTTGGTTTAGGCTCCCGCCCTGCCCAGGGCGGCCGGGGTCAGGCTCAGTCCCCTGTCCTGGGGTCGTGTAGTAATTTTTGTTGTCAGAATGGAGTTGTGGTGCAATGCAGTTTGAGAGCCTCTGGTCTATTAAGAAAACACCTCAAATTCAGTCAATTATTTCCTTGGACTGCTGCTGGCTGTTAAATTAGTTACCATCTTCTGTGTAAGAAGAACTGAGATAAGCTAGGGAGATATTTCCTAAGACGAGCAATGTATGCGCTGGATCTCAGACTGGCTGTCTGATAAACTATGGTTGTTCTCTGTAACAGGGTAGCTGGTCCCTTCCATGAATTCAGACCCAACTTTCCTGCCTAGGGGCACTGACAGAGTCCAGAACCGAGAGTGCAGGATGCTCAGGGATGGATGCCCTGAAGGAGAGTTCAGAACTCAGACTCCTGAGACGGAGTTCAGAAGAAGTGCAGAGCTGGGCTGAGAGCTACATGGGCAGGGATGCCTCCGAAGGAGAGAGTGGTCAGCGTTCCCTGGTTGAGCAGCGGAGCCAGATCAGGCTGGTGAAAGCAAAAGGCAGAAAGGCAGTCTGGGTCACCTACAAACTTCCCCAGGCCAGAGAGGGCTGAAAGTGGCAGAGGAAGATGCCTGTTGGCTCCCTGAGCCAGAGAGCTGAAGGCTGAGGAATGATGAAGGAGTGAGACAGCTGATGTCTCTGGTCAAGAGCTAGACTTAGACCTGAGAATGAAACCGGAAGCACAGAGAAGCACCCCAGCTAGACGGGGTGAGCGACCACAGAGCGGTACCTGAGACCCGGAGCGTGGTGAGAGATGCTGGAGCTGTACTATGGGGGCGGTTGTAGGCATGGTGAGAGACGTTGGAGCTGTACAGGATAGACTGCTGGGACTTGAAAGATTGACTGCACTATTTAGACTGTGCGGGGCAGGGTTAGATTATGGTTGTGGGATTTTTTTTGTAATAAATTAACTCTGCAGAGGGCTATTTATACCTGGAAACAAAGGCCTGGCCTTAATGGAGATGCTGGAAGAAAGGAGAAAGTGAGGCAGGTGCACTAGTTGTCCTATGGCCTGCCCCAGGAGGGCTCCCCAGGAGAAAGGCCACCATATGACAGCCTCAAACAAAGGCGGGGGGTCAGGGAGGTAGCCAAAATGAGTTGTGTATTAATCTCTGTATGGTTAAGTTCAGTCAGTCACTGTCCTTTTTAATTTCTTTACGCTTAAAAGTAACTCTCATCCCACGAGCAGACGCAACCCCTGTGTGGATATGTGTTCTGTGTGGCTTCTTATGGCCTCCCACATCCAATTTAAAGGGGAGGGAATTCAACAACATCACTTCCCTCCTCCCCAAATAGCCTGCAGTGAGGTTAGCTGAGTGAGCAGCATGCAGCCGGGGGGGGGGGGGGGACACGGATGGGACAGGAGAGAACAGCAGTAAGCTCTAACTAGACACAGCAGCAGTGTGAGGGATGCAGCACAAACTTCACTCAACAAACAGATGGCAAAGTTCACACACACACACACACACACACAGAGCGTGAATGCAGCCTGTGCGGGTGATGAGGACAGCAAAATGCTCTCGCTGCTTCTCATCCTCGGAAAACGTATTTTGGCACCAAGGAACACAGAAGGTTCCTGTCTGGTTCTGAGCCTCTTCCTTCCCCCCAGGGGCAAGTTTCTGATCTGAGCTCCGCTTTGCAATCGTGGGTGAACTGACTGACACACGTTTCTGCGCCAAGGCTGCCAATGAAAAGTTGTCATGTGTATCAGTTTCCTGCCAGTAGGCACTGAAAAGCAGTGGTGCCCCACGCTACGTCTCTGAAGGAGAGCAAACAAGCCACCTGTACCCTTCCCAGCGTGCAGCATACTGATATGCAACAGCTAAGCTGACCTGGGCAGGCAATTCAGCTCTTTCCTCTGGTAAGTACAAGGAAAATGAGAGAGGGTGACGGCTTTAATTCTCAGAGGCTGTTCGGCCTGGAGCAGTCAGGGCTCTCAGGAGTTGAAGTACAGTTCAGCAGCATCTTTCATGGGCCGTCAATAATTACAATCCTTGGCTCCCATTTGCCATTTCGCTGCACCTCATGTAGTCACTAACGCCAATGCAAAGTGAGTGCAAAGCACAGCCGAATCAGAATGGCCGTATTTCAGGCTCCCTTTGCCATGCGAAGAACTGCACAAGGTGCGGGGAAACAGAGAATCAGGCCCTTGGTGAACAGACCTCGCTTTTCCCAGTATGAACACAGAGCTGGGTGGAGTAGCACTTTACACACAGATGTCGCACTTGCTAGCCACTACGTAACTTGTTTTGTTTCTGCTAGATCAGCGTTTCTGCTACGGCTGACCACAAATCCCTTAGCATCGTCTGGGACACCATTAACTCCTCTTCCCGGGTTGGAGCCCAGAGCACATGAATTCAGCCCCCTTTTCTGTTCCACCATAGCAGGTAAGGGAAGCTGGACCATTACAACCCTCTGATTTCATTGTAGGCTCTGGGAGGAGATGCATTGAAGTGGGAAACCCTTTGTTGCAAGTTGTTAAATAATAAGCAGAAGTGACACTAAACCCTGAGTTTTAAGTTCAAATGTCAAACTGTTCTCCAGTTGGAAAGCCCCTCTTTGCACCAAGATCTAGTATGGAAGCTACTTGTTTATTCCAGGGTGTGGGACTGCCTCGTTGGCATTTCTTCTGGTCTGCTGAATTGAGGTTACTACATTGTGTCAATAGTTTCCAAGTGGCAACCTGCAGGTGTAAATGCCCACAGCATGAAGCACTGCAAGACACTAAGCATGCTGGCCTCAATCCTGCAATGGGACTACCCATATTCTTAATATTAAGCACAAAATTAAGTGCTTTACTGGATCAGGTTAAAGTGTTCAAAGTAGGGCTGTCAATTAAAAAAATTAATCACGATTAATCACACTGTTAAAGAATAACAGAATACCATTTATTTAAATATTTTTTGGTGTTTTCTACATTTTCAGATATGTTGGTTTCAGTTACCACACAGAATACAAAGTGTACGATGCTCACTTTATATTTATTTTTTATTACAAATATTTGCATGGTAAAAAAACAAAAGAAATTGTATTTTTCAATTCACCTAATACAAATACTGTAGTGCAATCTCTTAATCCTGAAAGTGCAATTTACAAAGATAGAATTATGTACAAAAAAAAAACTGCACTCAAAAATAAAACACTGTAAAACTTTAGAGCCTACAAGTCCACTCAGTCCTACTTTTTGTTCAGCCAATCACTCAGACAAACAAGTTTGTTTACATTTGAAGGAGATAATGCTGCCCGCTTCTTGTTTACAATGTCACCTGAAAGTGAGAACAGGCGTTCTCATGGCATTGTTGTAGACAGTGTTGCAAGATATTTATGTGCCAGATGTGCTAAAGATTCACGTCTCTTCATGCTTCATCCACTATTCCAGAGGACATGCGTTCATGCTGAGGATGGGATCTGCTCGATAACGATCCAAAGCAGTGCAGACCGACGCATGTTCACTTTCATCATCTGAGTCAGATGCCACCAGCAGAAGGTTGATTTTCTTTTTTGGTGGTTCGCGTTCTGTAGTTTCCACATTGGAGTGTTGCTCTTTTAAGGCTTGTGAAAGCATGCTTCACATCTCATCCCTCTCAGATTTTGGAAGGCACTGCAGATTCTTAAACCTTGGGTTGAGTGCTGTAGCTATCTTTAGAAATCTCACGTTGATAACTTCCTTGCGTTTTGTCAAATCTGCCGTGAAAGTGTTCTTAAAACGAACATGTGCTGGGTCATTATCCGAGACTGCTATAACATGAAATATATGGCAAAATGTGGGTAAAACAGAGCAGGAGACATATAATTCTCCCCCAAGGAGTTCAGTCACAAATTTAATTAAAGCATTTTTTTTAAACGAGTGTTATCAGCATGGAAGCACGTCCTCTGGAAGGGTGGCTGAAGCATGAAGGGGCATACGAATGTTTAGCATATCTGGCATATAAATACCTTGCAATGCCGGCTACAAAAGTGCCATGCAAATGCCTGTTCTCACGTTCAGGTGACACTGTAAATAAGAAGCGGGGAGCATTATGTCTCATAAATGTAAATAAACTTGTTTGTCTTAGGGATTGGGCCAAAAGAAATCTGATGAGGTTCAATAAGGATAAGTGCAGGGTCCTGCACTTAGGACAGAAGAACCCAATGCACAGCTACAGACTAGGGACCGAAGGGCTAGGCAGCAGTTCTGCGGAAAAGGACCTAGGGGTGACAGTGGACGAGAAGCTGGATATGAGTCAGCAGTGTGCCCTTGTTGCCAAGAAGGCCAATGGCATTTTGGGATGTATAAGTAGGGGCATAGCGAGCAGATTGAGGGACGTGATCGTCCCCCTCTATTCGACATTGGTGAGGCCTCATCTGGAGTACTGTGTCCAGTTTTGGGCCCCACACTACAAGAAGGATGCGGAAAAATTGGAGAGAGTCCAGCGAAGGGCAACAAAAATGATTAGGGGTCTCGAACACATGACTTATGAGGAGAGGCTGAGGAAACTGGGATTGTTTAGTCTGCAGAAGAGAAGAATGAGGGGGGATTTGATAGCTGCTTTCAACTACCTGAGAGGTGGTTCCAGAGAGGATGGTTCTAGACTATTCTCAGTGGTGGAAGAGGACAGGACAAGGAGTAATGGTCTCAAGTTGCAGTGGGGGAGGTTTAGGTTGGATATTAGGAAAAACTTTTTCACTAGGAGGGTGGTGAAACACTGGAATGCGTTGCCTAGGGAGGTGGTGGAATCTCCTTCCTTAGAAGTTTTTAAGGTCAGGCTTGACAAAGCCGTGGCTGGGATGATTTAATTGGGGATGGGTCCTGCTTTTGAGCAGGGGGTTGGACTAGATGACCTCCTGAGGTCCCTTCCAACCCTGATATTCTATGATTCTATGATTGGCTGAACAAGAAGTAGGACGGAGTGAACGTGTAGGCCCTAAAGTTTAATGTTGTTTTGTTTTTGAGTGCAGTTATGTAACAAAAAAAATCTACATTTGTAAGTTACACTTTCAGCATAAAGAGACTGCACCATGTACTTACATGAGGTGAATTGAAAAACACTATTTTGTTTATCATTTTTATGGTGCAAATATTTGTAATAAAAAAATAATATAAAGTGAGCACTGTACACATTGTATTGTGTGTTGTAAATAAAATCAATATATTTGAAAATGTAGAAAAACTTCCAAAATATAAATTTCAATTGGTATTCTATTGTTTAACAGTGCGATTAATCATGATTAATTTTTTTAATCGCAATTAAATTTTTTTAGTTAATCACATAAGATGAAGTGAGCTGTAGCTCACGAAAGCTTATACTGTAATAAATTTGTTAGTCTCTAAGGTGCCACAAGTCCTTCTTTTCTTTTTGCGATTAATCGACAGCCCTAGTTCAAAGCTCTTTGCAGGATCAAGCCCTAAAAGAAAAACTAAATGTACAGTGATGACAGATCAAGAGTGTGAGAGGAATAAGGGTGGACAGCACTGGAAATTAGGCCAATGGGAAGGTAATTGAGAGGCAGGATCTGGAGGCCAGCCATGCACCAGGGAAGAGAACGTGAATGTTCTACAGTTTTCTTAACGCTGTTCAGCTGATCCACAAGCTCACTTACAGAATGAGCTTTATTTGCTGTTAAATTATGGCTTATGATTTAGAGGTGTGGTGTTTTTATTGAAGATGCAGTTTCCCCATCATCTAACGGGAATTAATATTTGTTTTCATTATGCTGATTTTCGTTGAGCGATGTGTCTGCAGCTTTAGTGACACCTTGTGGCTTGTGAATTACAAGAAAATATTCCTAAAAGCAGATCCACAGAATAGTGCATTTCAGGCCACATCCTCCTTCACTGCTTAAAATTAACGTTCTTAACAGATCACTTCTGAGTAATCTGCAATGCTGAGAAATAAGAACTATGGCCCCAGGTCAAAAAGCTGGTGGAAATGGACCCAGGGAAAACAGCTTAGCACAGGCCTGATTGGGACTTAAGCACATGATTTAAGCACATGCTTAAAATTCTTTTGTGAATTGGGGCCTTTATAAATTGAGCGTACAATAGACAAAAGTAATTCAAAAAAGAAACTGTGTATTTTTTGGTTTCAGAGCAGCAGCCATGTTAGTCTGTATCTGCAAAAACAAGAGGAGTACTTGTGGCACCTTAGAGATTAGAGCATTTGTTAGTCTCTAAGGTGCCACAAGTACTCCTGTTGTTTTTGTGTATTTTTTATGCTTTACAAATACATTTGGAGATATAGGTGCTTGGCCTTTGATATTTGAATACTTTTGCTTTCTCACCTCTATTTTTCCTTCTTTACTCTCTTCTTCGTTTTGATGTCATCTTTTCCTGATTTTATTGTCTATTTTCTCCCCCGCCCCATTCCTTTTTCTAATCAAATTCTGTTTTAACTTGGTAACTTGTTTGTTCTTTCATTGGTTAACATTACACGTTTGCGTCTTTGCAAGAAGACGGCGATAGACCGTAAGCTCATGGGAGCTCTGACTGCTTCTTTCTGTGTCTCTACAAAGTGCATAGTACAATGGGGTCCAGCTCTTGACTGGTATTTCTAGGAACTACCACAATACAAAGGATGATATTTTTCCCTAACAGCAACTACTAAGACCTGCTGAAAACAAAACAAATGGTAAATGGACTCGACCCTGTATGGGAATATATGATTTAGGGGGTGTTCAGGGTGAATGTACTGTCAGTTTGCTATGGAGAGGAGGTGGCCCCTACTCTCAGAGAGAGGGGAAGTGACAGTTGGGGGAGAAAAGGCAGGCAGTGGGCAGCCTGAGAAAGAGAGAGAAACACAGAGTCTGGGAGTAAATGCAGAGAAATAGGGTGTGGGGAGAGGGCAGCCAGAGAGGCAGAAGGAAACGAGGACTGAGAGTAAGTGGAGTGACTGAGGTTGAGCAGGGCATACAGAAGAGGGTTCTGCTGGCTGGTCAAGTCAGTCCATGTTCGATAGCCTGTTCCTGAGCTTCCGTTCCTCACCATCGGTTCTGGTCATCTCCTATCATTGACACGGGTGGTGCCAGAGAACTGCAACAGGCGAAGCAAAAGTCCTTCAGATCCCATGGGTCTGGTCTAACATCCACTCCTGCAAGCGAGCACCACTGGAGTCAAATCCATCCCTTCAGGAAGTCAGGAGAGCCACTCAGGGCTCAAAGGCTGCCTTGAGCGTTAGATAGTACCCTGTGACATATCTGGGGAAAGGGGAACCTTGAACTAACATAATAAAAACAACAGCAACCTATAATAGCCTGTGCATACAGAGAGAGAGATATTTCTTTATTTAGGGGGTTATATTGAGTTAAGTACACTTAGTAGTAATAAAAACATTTATAACACACAGAAACTTATCTACATTCTTCATCTATTTAATGTTATTGTAGGTAGGTGGAATCCAGTTCTGTTTGTTCTGGTTTAAGTTAAAATCCCTGTTATGTTATTCTATTTATTTTTTGACAACCAGTTGTATTATCTTGGCTCTCTCCTGCCAGGTAATGATGGACCACTGTGATGGACCATTACTAGATCTTGGTTGGTAGTTTTGGGATGGGGTGACCCTCAGCTGTATTACAAATTATCAACACAATAACTCGACTCTGAGAGGTCTGTTTACAAGAAAACAACCCCCCATCCAGAAATAGCAATTCTCAAGGATAGTAGTCAAAACAGATGATTTAGCCACAAACAAATTAGGGTAGAGAATCAAATGTAGGGCTGGAAGAGACCTCCAGAGGCATCTAGTCCAGTTCTATGAACTGAGGCAGGACCAAGTAAACCTAGACCAGAGGTTGGCAACCTGTGGTCTGCAGACCACCAGTGGTCCGCGAGCTCCATTCAGGTGGTCCGTGGATAGTTCCCTCTAAGGTGCGCACCTGGGCAGCCGCACACAAGAGAATGAAGAACCACCCCCCTAATTAGTGTAGCCGGACAGGCGTGGCTCCACTAATTAGGTGCCTGGACCATGGAGAAGACGCACACGTAAAGTGAGGTGGTGGACTTGGGGGGGGAATAGGGCGTAGGTGGGAGGGGACAGTGGAGTGAGAAGAGGGGTTGGGGGGAATTTGGGACGTGCAGGGCTGCGGTGGCCAGAGAAAGAGCCGACTTTCCCCAGCTCCAGGGCTGCCGGGGAGAGACCCCCCCTCCTTTCCAGCCTCAGCTCTGTGGCTGGGGAGAGACCCTCCTCCTTCCCAGCCCCAGCTTGGGGGCTGCCGCGGCGGGGGAGAGAGGGCACATCCATCACATTAGAAAGGTAAGACTACGGATATTAAAATACGAGTTGTGTGCTTTTATTTGTAGAACAAAAAAACGTTTATTATTAAGGGTTTTTTTTTTAATGTAGCGCTTTTATCCAAAGTGATTTACAATAGTTAGCTAACAGTACAAATAACATTTGGAAAGATTATTAAGTGGTCCACTGAGACCCTCAGCAATTTTCAAGTGGGCCGTGAAAAAAAAAAAAAAGTTTGAGAACCACTGACCAAGACGATCCATGACAGGTGTTTGTCCAACCTGTTCTTAAAAAACCTCCGATGATGGGGATTCCACAACCTCCCTTGAAAGCCTGTTCCAGAGCTCAACAACCCTGACAAAGTGTTTCCTAATCTCTAACCTAAATCTCCCTGGCTGCAGATTAAACCCATTACTTCCTGTCCTACATTCAGCAGACATGGAGAACAATTCATCACCATCCTCTTTATGAGAGCCCTCAACCTATTTGAAAACTTATCAGGTCAGAATAATAGAAGGAGTTTCATGACAATGATGTAACTGAGGTGGTGATGCTTAGAACACTATGCTGTAACCATTCTTTGAGACCCAAAGGCTGACTAGGTCTTTAAAAATCCATTTGTCTTGATCTCACAATATCCCTTCTTTTTGTGCATGTACACACACGCGCATGGGTGCATACACACCAAGGAATGTTCACTCTCTGTGTGAATCTTAACATTTCTTGCTCTAAAAATCACCCTGCTATTTGGCATATCCTGCTATTGACAGGACTTCAGTGTCAAAGTTCCTACAGCCGGTGGGAAAAAATGAAAAAAAAACCAACCCAACCACAAAATTTAAAAATTGTTTCAGTTTAGCAGGGCTTTTTAAAATTTTCATGAAATATTTTTTTTGAAAACGTTCAAACTATTGTTTGTTTTCCCCTCACTTTTTCCTTTCTGCTACTGAGTGTCCACGGTTTCAGATTTTTGGACACTTTTCCTTTTTCTTAGTCCTGGTCTACATTGAACAATTACATTGACCTAGCTACATTGCTCAGGGCTGCGAAAAATATCATGCCTGGAGCACCACAGCAACCTACCCCCGGAGTAGACGCAGCTAGGTCATCAGAAGGGACACCACACACCCTCCCTAGGAGCCTGGTGGGAGTGGGAGGACTGGGGCTCACGTTCGCACCTTAAGGTTTGGGGAGAGCAAGGATAACAGGGAGGCAAAAGCTCCACCCCATAGGACGTAGCTACCACTTTCTGTTAATGTAGGAAGTGTCCATATTACAACACTACAGTGGCATAGCAGCAGCTGGCCCTTTAAGGAGAGGTGGGCCTAAGTCCTCCAGTGACAAGCCTAACTTGCCTCCCCAGGTGAGAAAATGATTTTGGTCATGTGACAGGAAAGTCATGGGACTAAGTCAGGCCAAGCCTAGAGATATATAAGGGAGAGGCCTCGGGGACACTAGGAAGTTGCTGGATAAAGAAGTCAACCAGCACACAACCCCAGAATGGAGGACTGTGAGATCCCAGACTTGCGAGGTAAGTTACAGGCTAGGGAGGCCAAACTTTAAAGCTACAGTCGCAAGGAGGACTCAGACCCTAAATCTGAAGATGAGTAGAAAGGAAGCTTTGTGGGAGTTTAATTATATTCAACGAATTAGACCCCAGGAGAAGAGGAATACTGTTTCAAAGACTTTGCTTATGACTGAATTATTTTAGCAGAACTCAGAGGGAAACTGAGGCAGGGTGCCTACAGGGCTGCCCTAGGCCACAATGGGGTGTCCTGGGACAGTTACTTGTCTCTACACTGTTTAGTTTACATTTTTCCCCACTCAAACTTTCCAAAGTTGAGGGAGCTTTGAAAAGTTACATCAAGGAAAGAGAGAAAAAATGAGGGAAAAATAGACGAAGTGAAAGGGAAATCCCTCAACATCCTTCATTCTATTCTGTTCAGTGCAAAAATGGGGAGAAAAGAGGAGGAAAACCCCAAAATCTGTTATTTTGAAACATTTTCAATTTACAAGAACTAAAAGGAAAATGTTCATTTTGAAACAAAAAAAATGTTCGTAATTTTCTGTCAACCAACTGAACAACCTTCATGAAACGATATATTCCTGCAAAACAGCTGTTTTCAATTAAACCCTATTTTTCACAGGGAAAAAGTTGAAACCAAATGACCTTTTCTAAGCTCACTCAGTGATAATGAGAATGTTGACAATGAGCCTTATACACATGAGAAGGGCGGAGCATACAACCTTCAAATGTGCTCAGATACCATGGCGACAGATGTGGCATAAGAGGCTAGATGGATCCTTTTGAAATTAAGCTCATCAGTACAAGTTACAGTATATGTAGTAGAAATAATAGTAGCAAACCTTCAGGTAGTGTTTGATATTAGAGAAAAGAAATGCAGTCAAAAGTCTTCCTTGTGAATGCTCCTCTGTGCTTTGAATACACGTACATCTTTACTGGGATCGTAGTGGACCTCACATACCGAAAATCGTCCCTCCAGCATCTCCAGGAAATTCTGATCCCGTTGATAGCGAATCCGACACGATAACAGAATAACAGTATGTTCTGAGCACAAGTGCTCCAGTGTCTGAAGCAGATCCGCAAAGGTGTCTTCCAGATAAATTATGTCTGCGCCCAGGATAAAGTCAAACTTTCCTGGCGCGAAGTTCCCCAAGTTTCTTCCCCAAGTCAGTTCCTTTACCACGGCTCTTGGCTGGAGGTCAGGAGGTAAGTTAGCCTGAACGTTTGACTCGAGAAATTCCAGTGCAGCTTCCCTGTCTGTGATGGTGACATGAGCACCTGTGTGGCACAAGGAGTGTAAGTCTCAAGACAAATAACTGTTGCCCACCGATACAGCTTTTGGAATATAACGGTTTAAGGGACGCAACTTCGAGTTCCCATTAAGAGTTAACAAAATTACTGAACAACAATGAAAACATTTACTGAGCTGCTTGATTTTAAGTCAACTGACACTTGGAATATTTAGTTTTATTTATGTTTAATGGTAAAAATAGTACTATCAGATCAAAATTGTTTTTGGAATAAATGACTATTTCTTTTTAGAAAGACGGAGCCAATTGCTTTCTGTCTTTCTATGAGGAAACTACAGAATAAATTGTGGGAGATTATTATAAAAAAGTCTCACTGATTTTTGCCCTGGTGTAGCATCAGATTACCCCAGGGATCCAGACAGAGCAGATGGGTGACTGAAGAGCCTTAGCCGCAGCTGGTTTTTTCAATGGATGTTTAAGTTAATGGTTGTGATAGTTTATTTGAATTTGGGCAGAGTTTTAAATTATAACGGGGTTCAAAAGAAAATCAGATAAGTTCCTGGACGATTGATCCATCAATGACTATTAGCCAAGATGGTCAAGAACACAACCCCATGCTCTGGGTGTCCCCAGCATGATGGCCAGAAGTGGGAGTGGACAACAGGGGTGGATCATTCAATGACTGTCTCTTCTGTTCATTCCCTCTGAAGCTCCGCATTGGCCATTGTCGGAAGACACAATGCTGGGCTAGATGAACCATTGGTCTGACCCAGTATGGCCGTTCTTATCTTATAATTTAATAAATATTTGATTAGTTTTTTCACCCCCATTTTAGAAGGAAATCTGCCATAGTGGCTAGAATTTATCTCTACAGAGACATTACACTTGAATATAGTCATGTTTTAGTTCAATGAGATATGATCGGCATGGCAAGTTTAGACTCTACACAAATGTGTGTGCTGTCTGCTCTAGACTATAGAATTGTGCTAGTTAACACATGTTAAAGATGACTTAACATTTAAGAATTGACACCCCGGAGCAGATCCTCAGACAGGATAAACTGTCATAACTCCACTGACTTCAATGGGGTCAGAGTCAGATCACTCCCACCCCACTTCTACACCTATGTAAATTAGCAGAAGAACTCATTGGCCTAATGAGAGTTTTACCATTGACTTCATTAACTACACTGAGTACAGAACTAGGCTAAACTGAATGCTTTTGAAAATCCCCACCTAGGGCTCCAATCAAATCCACCTTCACAGATCCAAGTGCACGATCAAATCCTACGGCTACAGCAAAGGTAAGGAAAAAAATAAGATGGGGGGGAAGGTGTCATTTTAGCGTATGCGTAACATGCCTCCGGTGGCATGTGACAAGGATTCATCCCTGAATTTGGTCCGCAGATTGGATCATTAGCTTCCCCGCTTGGACTGGGCACCGAGGGGGAGTGCGACATGAATCCTGATCCATGCCCCCCCAGGGGAGGCCTGGGGAAATAATGTATTTTTACACACACCGTGCAGGAATTAATTACAGTTAGAACAAGTGAGTTTCTCTGATAAAGAAGGCGCTAGTTTTAAAATAATCAAATACCGGTTGCTTTTCAAATGAAAATCAAACTAATATTAGTTAATGTTAGGGGAACTGAGCATTTGTCAAGAGTTGTCGGTGGTCAGGCAAAGGAGTCCTGGGCTACATTTACTCTTAATCTGTGCTACCGCTAGGGTGTTGAAATAAACAATGAGTGAATACAGCAGGAAGCAAAGCTAGGGCTGTGAGATACCAGACTTATCACTGGCCCCACTCTTGGTCTAACGATGCCATGACTCACTAGCACCCATTGTAAAGGGGAGGCAGCACAGCACAGTGGATGGGACATCAGACTAGATCAGGAGACCTGAGTTCTGTTCCTGGCCCTGCCACTGGGTGACTGACAGAACCTGGGCAAGTTGCTTAATTGCTCTGTGCCTCAGTTTCCCTGCCTGCAAAAACAGGGTTAATAACGCATATGCATCTTTGTAAAATGCTTTGCTATCTGTTGATGGAGCTCACTGTACAAAATGTGAAGTATTAATAAAGCTGAAGGACATAAGCACAGCATTTATTCCCTGCGGGAGAATAGCTACAGAAAAGAAAGGGATGCCACTGACAGGGCCGTCCCTAGCTATTTTGGTGCCCTATGATGCCCCCCCGTGGGGGGGCTGTGTGAGGCCCCAGGCCTCCACAGAGGGAAGCAGGGGGGGCTGGCCCCAGGCCTCTGCTGGGCGGCTGCGTGGGGCCCCGCCCCAGGCCTCCATGGGGGATGGCTACTTCCTGCAGGAAGTGGAGTGACCTGGCCCCAGCCTGCTCCACTCCCTTGGCTCCCAGCCGTGCTGCCGGCGAGTGCTGGGGGGCGGTTCCCCCTTTCCCCCCAAACCTGGGAGCCAGGGGAGCAGAGCAGGCTGGGGCCGGGTCACTCTACTTCCCGGTGAGTGCAGGCCCCCCTGCTTCTGGAGTCCTCGGGGGAGTGGGGGCGGGGCTGGGGCGGAGCAGGGGTGGGGGCCATGGGGAAGAGGTGGGGCAGGGGCTGGAGCAGCACGCAGCTGTGCAGGGCACCAGGAAATGTGGTGCCCCAAATTTCCTGCTGCCCTACGCAGCTGCCTGCTTTGCGTATGGGTAAAGACGGCCCTGGCCACTGAGCTCACCGCCATGGAAACAGCAGGCAGCCTTAAGGGGGTGCTACTCTGAAGCAACCTGTTGTAGCACCATCACCACAATAAATAACCGAATAAGAAAAGGAGGATGAGCCACAGATGAAACATCACAGTAACCGTCACACAGCGTGGCTGTTAACTTACACAGCAACCCTGTCACCTGTGTGTGAATTTTACAGCGGTACCAATTCCTTAAAGAAAAAAAAAAACTTACCCAATAACGTGGCCACTATTCCCAGCAATCCAGTTCCTGCTCCTAGTTCAATCACTGAGCGCCCTTGTAGATCAATACTTCCCATCTCCAGATAAGTACACAGGACTACAGCCTGAATCAAGAGACAGGACTAATTAAGAATTGGGGATCATTTTAGTGATGCCAGATCACAGTATTTCTGATTGAAACCAGTAGAGAAGGTTGCAAGAAAGGTGTGGACAATCAAGCACCTCAAGTCTGCAGGTATACTTCGCCATCCGTGTTATACAAAGGCTGACGGGAGGCAGAAAGGAATATCCAAACTATCAATCCTGCAAAGGAGGTTAAAATAATGACATGGGATGGTTTCTCCATTAAATCCAAAACACAAACAGAAGGAAGCAGAAAAAGAAACAGTTGCACTAAGAAAAGAAAAGCAGGATTTTTGTTGATGCAAAAAATTAATGCAAAATTGCAGAACTGTTGAGAGGCACCATTGCCCTTTATCGTATTTCTTACATCTTTCCAAAACCTTTTGGTTTAATCTTGGTACGCATGCTCTTCCATAGTGTGTGTGAAGGTCAAGCAGTTGAGTGTAATGGATTAAGAGCACTTCTATTTAAGTACAAAGTAAATCCAATGTGAGCTACTGTTAAGCAAGGTCCCACACCCAAATCATGACTTTGCAAGAGCACCTGCTATAGAAAATTCTGTCTCACCAGTATCCTTAGGAACAGGATGATAGCTGTGTTAGCGTATATGCTCCAATTAATGCGAGCAGTTCAACTGCCAAACTCATTATTTATGACCAGAGAGAGGGGCATGATTTAGTGGTCAAAGTACAGGTCTAGGACCCAGGTACAGCTAAACACCAACACAAACCCAACCACTGACGACTCCTGTGCTTTGGGTTCTCTAGCTACAACATGACACTACTTAACTATCTCATCAAGGTGGTATGGGGATTAGTGGCTGCCCGGCACTTTGAAGATTAAAAGAGCTATGCAAATACAAAGTATTATTTTATTATTATTAAGACTTGGTTAAAAAAAATGGGAAAACAACTTTGTGATAAATCTTGAAAGAGGCCCTATTTCCCAAAGTCTTTCATGATCTTTTTTTCCAAAATGTTAAACTTTCTATTGCAATAATTGTCAACATTTTTCATTTACCAAAAAGTGGATTTTCTTACTGAAAACAGGAGTTTCCAGTACACTAGCAATCTAACAAAACAAAATTCTAAAAATATTGAACATTTAGATCAAATTATTAATTTTTAAATGTTGCAGAAAATTGTGAAAATGGAAAGTTTTGATCATGACGACAATGTACCATAAAAAGGTTTTTTTTAAAATATAAAAAGAGCACTTTTCAATTGGGGGAAAAAACTTCTCATGCAGAGAATTTGCAGCCAGCTCTCCTAAGCTGCTGGGCATGTATTTCACCTCTCTGTAAAATGGAAATAATTGTACTGGCCTCCTTTGTAAAGAGTTTTGAAGTGTACTGACGAAAGACACTACACAAAAGCTCAGTATTATTTGGGGTTGGACTTGAAACAGACACATATTCTGCACAAATTGAAAATATATTTATTTTAATCATACATACGGCATCCCATACGACTGCAGCTACACCCAGTTGCTTCCAGTTTTGTTTGATTTGGATTGTGTGGTTGGCAAAATGATACACAGATGAAGATTTATGGAACTTCTGCAATCCCCAGACCGCACTGTCATCATAGGGAACCAACGCCATTTTATTATCCATCTATCAAATCTCTCTGACCTACGGAACAAGGGAGAACAAGTCTATGTGAAACCTCAGTGAGAAAAGAACATCTGTTTTGTCCTCTCAAACTAATTTGGCTTGTTTTAAATAACGAGGGAGATTCCAAATACCGTTTTGGATCCTAATAATTCACTCGTTTAGCTACAGTGGAACAGCTTCAACGAGAGACTGAAGGAGTCCCACGCGAGACTTTCCCTTAGCTCGGTGGTTATGGCATTCACCTAAGGAATTTGACCACCTCTTCTCTCACTCAGCTGGAGGGGGGACTTGAACTGGCGGTCTCCTGCATCCCAGTTGAGTACCCTAACCTCTGGGCTAAAAGTGGAGGAAGAAGGCATTCCTCTCCCTCTCTGTTTTGTGTAAACTCACCTGTAGGGGCTCATGCAGTAGGTGCTCTCTGAGCACACTTACCAAATAGGCCCCTCAGGTGAGTTAGACAGAGGAATGCCGATACTTCCCAGTTCACATCATCAAAGCAGCTGTTTGCGTAAAATTCTTTGAATAAGATGGCAAGACAGGGTGACAAATGTGGAAGTGTTTAATCCTGCGGGTATGTCATTCACGGGAACGTTGATTAGTAAGAAAAGATTTAGGTGGCTTGGACATGTGAAGCAAATGCCGGACTACAGGATCCCGAAGAGCGTGCTGTACTCTGAAGCTCGCGGAGGGCCTAGAAAGAAAGGCAGGCTGCTGCGCAGATTTCGGGGTGCTTGCAAAGAGAACTTAGAATCCTTTGGAATCTCTGTGGATGATTGGGAAAGGCACGCAGAGTGCCGCTCTGGTTGATGGAGTCAGCTTGTAGATGGGTCGAAGCATTGCGAGGTGGACTGGATCAAGCTTCGTGGATGACCGGCGACAGAGAAGGAAAGAATCTGCTGCTTGGATGCAGAGCGTTGCTCGTGCGTGGGTGTGCCCTGCTGGTGGACGGAGCGGTCACTAGCCCATTGGACTCAGCAGCCACCAAAGAACTCCTTGGCGCATACGCCATGCTCTGTAAAGACCGCTGGTACCACTGACTGATTGAACCCGCTGGAGACGGCAGTCTAGGTTCCCTGCCCTAAACTGTCATGCCTTCTGATGATGCTCAGTCCCCTATACTCCTGGGAATCCCATCACCCACTCTGGTGGGTGGAACAAAGACAGCTTAATACCACAAGGGTTTCAGACCGAGCATGAGGAATACTACTGGAGGCTGCAGGAGGAATTCAAGGAGACGGTAAATGATCCCCCGTGGAATTTGGCCGGGCCGTTGGGAGTAATGCGAACTCCTCTAAGAATGCCCAGGTCTCGGCCAAACCCTGCAACAGGAAAGAAAACAGAGTGTGTGTGTGTGTGTGTGTGTGTGTGGGGGGGGGGGGGTGAGCGTAATCTGTGGGGCTCTGTAAGGCAAGGGAGATCTGTACCTGGCTGCGGCGTCCCCGCCCGCGCGCCCTGTCCCCGGTGGGCACCAGGGAAGCGCTCGGAGCTGCCCGGGCACCAGGGACGCGCTCGGGGCGGCCCACGCAGGGCTGCAAACGCCCTTGCACCGCAGTGTGCCCGCAGCGCCCTTTGCCCGCCGTGCACACGCTGGGGGGGGCGGGGGCGGCCCCACTGGAGACGCGCCCCGCTGCAAGCGAGCCCCGGGGCCGCGAGGACCCCTTGCTGCACCCGGGGCCGGGGACTCACCCGCCACCGCCTCGCTGCAGGCCGCGCTGCGCCTCGGCCACCCCGCCCCTTAAAGGGGCGGTGTCGCTCCCTGCTCCGCCCGCCGCAGGGGGAGCTGGCCCCGCAGGGGAGGAGGCCGCTGGTTTAATGGGGGGCCCCCAAGGGTTAAAAAATGCTGCAATGGTCGCGGTGGCTGCAGTGAGTCGGGGGGGGGGGGCAGGATTCCCTGCTCCCGCGTGGGGCCAGACCCCCCCATGTCTGAACGCAGCCCCTCCATTCCTTGGGGGAGAGAGCACAGCTCCCCCCAAGCCTCCAGTGGCCCTGATCGAGGGGGGTGATAATTTATGTGCATTCCTGTGGCATAAGGGAGTCCTGGGCCAGGGCCCCAGCGCGCCAGGTACTGGACAAACCAGAGTGGAGAGACCGTGCCTGCCCCAAAGAGTTTACAGTCTAAGGGTTGGGCCAGGCAGGCGGGGGAGTGCGAGGGAGCGCTGAGATGGTGGACGCAATAGTCCAGGGTGGTCCCCTAGGCTTCTGGCTGCAAGCCCAACGTTGCCATGCTGGCAGCTAGTTAGAGACAGACTGGGATTTGTTCTGAAAGGGTGGAATAAATTGAAGCCTTTTTGAAATCGAAAGCCTCTGAAATATTTCCTTTTTGAGAGTTGGCAAACATCCAGCCTTCCTGAGGCCTGTTGCTTTACACACTGTTTGCACTAGTATAACTATGTTGGTTATGGGTGTGATTTTTTCCCCCCTGGTATAGTGATACCAGTACAACCTAGAGTGGGCACTGTTATACCCGTATAAAGGTGCCTTGTACTGGTGAAATGTATTTCTTTTCCCAGGTGGAAGTTATAAGCACTTTTATACTGGTATAACTGCGTCCACACTGCGTGGGTGGGTATTACACTGCTTTAACTATAGTGGTACAGTTAAAGCAATACAGCTTTGGTGTGTTGACAATCTTTACTGTTTTATCCCTCAGAAAACACTCCAATAAATAGAGATAAGGTTTTAAGGGTGTGATTTAATATACATGTTGTTTAATAAAAGGAGGACTTGTGGCACCTCAGAGACTAACCAATTTATTTGAGCATAAGCTTTCGTGAGCTACAGCTCACTTCATCGGATGCCACAAGTCCTCCTTTTCTTTTTGTGAATACAGACTAACACAGCTGCTACTCTGAAACCTGTTATTTAATAGTAATTATAGCTGGTCTGAAAATGCTTTCTTTCTGGATATAAAGCGGTAGGTTTCTTGCGCTACTGCTAAAAGAATGCTAATCTAGCTCTATGGGCTACACATGGGGAGATTTTGAGTTTACAGCAAAATATCAAAAACTGAACTATTTTGAATCCGAAATGCCCACACTGTACCTTATGGGAGTTGTCCTCTATAGACGGAACTCCTCAGCCGGACTACATCTCCCTGATACACCACAATCTTTCCTATGGTGAGGCCATGTGTGGGGGCAGTTGCATGACCATGGTGTATCATGGGAGATGTAGTCTGGCTGGGGGCCCATTGAGGAGGAAGGGAATATGAACCACCAGGGCAGCATTTTAGAATTAAAATATTAGGGGTTTTGTCCAGAATATTTCAGTTTGGGGCCAAAACCCCCCCCCCTTTTTTTTTTTTTTAAATCTGATATTCAGGGTTTGGGATTTTTTATTTTACAAAAAAATCAAAATTTTTCAAGGTGCACAGTTATTTTTCTTTGAAACGTTTTGTTTAGTTGGCAGTCTGTTTTTCCGTCAATCTGTTTTTCTGTCAGAAAATTTTCAGCTATCCCTAATAATGTAATTTATATATAATGTGGGCAAGCTAAGATTTCTTATTTCCTTAACTGTCCATTGCCTTGCTTTAAATAGCCTGAGTTTGGTAGGCCAGTGTTTCCCAAACTTGGGGCGCCACTTGTGCAGGGAAAGCCCCTGGTAGGCCGGGCCGGTTTGTTTACCTGCCGCATCTGCAGGTTTGGCTGATCGCGGCTCCCACTGGCCGCGGTTCGCTGTGCCCGGCCAATGGAGGCTGCAGGAAGTGGCGCGGGCCGAGGGACGTACCTGCCTGTTTGCATTTGCACGGCTATGAACATGACCTAAGCACCTGGAAGTTTTCATTACTCATATCTAAATAGTTCTTGGGTAACCACAGTTGACCATTACTGCAGCACTGAACTTTTAGCTTATCTTGGTCAAAGCATATCTCAGGATTGGAAGATGCTCTGCATAGTGGCTGTTTGGTGTAAATGTCCCTGCAGAGTTGTTTGTGTAGGGGGTTTCTGTCCATCTTATCCCGTTTCTGTTCAAACGCTACTTGTTTAGCCTAGGAAAGCAATAGGACCTGACATACTGCGTCTCTCTTTTTCCATCTTCAATATCCAGTTATGTGGAGCCTAATCCAAGGCCCACTGAAGCCATTGGGTGTCGTCACATCGATTTCATTGAGCTGTGGGTCTGGCCTTTATGGCACAGACTAGGTCTATCCCCTGAAAAGATACAGAATCAGATTCTTAAATGAGATCCCTCGGGCAGTGCAAATGAGACAGAATCTAGCTGTGAAGGGGCAGCAGGGAATTGCCTTGGTGTAGGGAAACTCCCTGTGATGTTGCACTCCATATGTTAATGGAAATATGCTTATGAGTGTAAATATAATATAACTGGAATATGCTTTATGCAAAAGGTCTCTTGTAAAGTGTCATTACAAAGCTTATAATCTACTGAGTGTGTTCATCCTATTTGTATGAATGTATCATTCTTGTACGATGAAGTCAGCTGTTGCTCATGAAAGCTTATGCTCAGATAAATTTGTTAGTCTCTAAGGTGCCACAAGGACTCCTTTTCTTTTTAAAGTTCGATTGTAATTATGCAAAGTGTGGGCCATTAATGGTGGCTTAGGATCTTGATGGCTCCCATTAACTAGAACAATTGGTTGTAAATGGCTCTGTTTACTTTAAGCCTTCCAGTGTTCCTGTGAGTCAGGCCAGAAAGAATGGAGGCTTGGGGTCTCACAGGACATGTGACCATGTCACCTGGTACTGGAATCCATCTTAAACCTGGTGCTTTTCCATTTAGAAGGAAGAGTGCAGACCCAGAGAGACAAAAGATTCCCGCCTTGTGCCAAAGCTATAAAAGGGAGTGGAACAGAACAAAGGGGGCTGCAGTTATGAGAAATCCCCTAGTTACCACCTGAGCTGGAACTAACAAGAACTGTACCAGGGGAAAGGATTGAGCCCAGACTAAGAAGTCTAGTCTGTGAAAGAAGCTTATTGGAAAATCTCTGAAGGTGAGATTTACCTGTATTCAACTTCTTAAATGTATTAGGCTTAGACTTGCGTGTTTTGTTTTATTGTGCTTGGTAACTTACTTTGTTCTGTCTGTTATTACTTGAAACCTCTTAAATCTTACATTTTATACTTAATAAAATCACTTTTGTTTATTAATTAACCCAGAGTAAGTGATTAATACCTGGGGGAGAAAACAGCTGTGCATATCACTCTATCAGTGTTATCGAGGGCAGACAATTTGAGTTTACCCTGTATAAGCTTTATACAGAGTAAAACGGATTTATTTGGGGTTTGGATCCCATTGGGAACAGGGTTTCTGGGTGCTGGAGTCAGGTGACCTGCAGAGCAATTTTTGATTAAAGTCTGCAGCTTTGGGGGGCGTGGACCAGACCTGGGTCTGGGTTGCAGCAGGCTAGTGTGTCTGGCTCAACAAGGCAGGGTTCTGGAGTCCCAAGCTGGCAAGGAAAACGGGCTCAGAGGTAATCTCAGCACATCAGGTAACAGCCTCAAGGGGGTCTCTGTGACTGAACCCGTCGCACTCCCACCTGGCATAAAGCTGCTGCTGCCTATGCACCACCCCCTGGATCTGCCCAGTCAGGGTGCAAGGGACTATGGCAGGGCTCCACTACATTGGTCCACCACTGGCATAGAATCTGCCGATCCTCCTCAGCTGCTCTAATAAATGGTCAGGGTCAGGGACAGCGCTGACCAGCCCTCGGGATCAGAGAACGTAACCCGCTCCCAGATGTCCCATTGCTCTTCTGCATTGAGCACAGCTTGGCTGCAGGAGAGAACCTGTCCCAAGCTAGATGAAACTAACGTGGTAACATCTGAAGCCTCTCATTTTCAACACAGTTGGTCAAAATCAGTTCAAGCTCTTCAGAGACAATAATAGTCTGCATAAGGATGGGATGAACCAAACTTTTTTGAGGGAAAAACTGTTGCCATAGGGAAATGGGCAAGTGAAATTCCAGTTTCCCAAACCAGTTTATACGTGCCTCATGCTAAGTAAACCCCATGATTAGAAGCATGCCAGGGCAGGTGTAGTGATTCAGCATGTTGAGGTTTAGTGCCTTAAGTGCTGATTTGTTGTTGTTAGTACAGCAAGTGGGAACTCGAGTTGCTAATGCTGTTATCTGGCTGCATTTCTGGATATTACATGTGTGGGCGGTATAAGAAAAAGCTCTCACCTAGTGATGAGAGCAATCGCACCTGGAAGGAAATCTCAGATTGGTTTAGTTTTGGAATCACTTAACCTGTGCTTATCATGACTCCAGAAAGCATTGGGCAGGTAGGGTGGTTGTTTCTTTTCTTGAGTAATGTCCTTATTATAAGGTGACTCAGAAGACCTACCATCAGGTAAGTTCCAGTCCCTGGAAAAATCATGGAGCAGGTCCTCAAAGAATCAATCCTGAAGCACTTGCATGAGAGGAAAGTGATCAGGAACAGCCAGCATGGATTCACCAAGGGAAGGTCATGCCTGACTAATCTAATCGCCTCTTATGATGAGATTACTGGTTCTGTGGATGAAGGGAAAGCAGTGGATGTATTGTTTCTTGACTTTAGCAAAGCTTTTGACACGGTCTCCCACAGTATTCTTGTCAGCAAGTTAAGGAAGTATGGGCTGGATGAATGCACTATAAGGTGGGTAGAAAGCTGGCTAGATTGTCGGGCTCAACGGGTAGTGATCAATGGCTCCATGTCTAGTTGGCAGCCGGTATCAAGTGGAGTGCCCCAAGGGTCGGTCCTGGGGCCGGTTTTGTTCAATATCTTCATAAATGATCTGGAGGATGGTGTGGATTGCACTCTCAGCAAATTTGCGGATGATACTAAACTGGGAGGAGTGGTAGATACGCTGGAGGGGAGGGATAGGATACAGAAGGACCTAGACAAATTGGAGGATTGGGCCAAAAGAAATCTGATGAGGTTCAATAAGGATAAGTGCAGGGTCCTGCACTTAGGACGGAAGAATCCAATGCACCGCTACAGACTAGGGACCGAATGGCTAGGCAGCAGTTCTGCGGAAAAGGACCTAGGGGTGACAGTGGACGAGAAGCTGGATATGAGTCAGCAGTGTGCCCTTGTTGCCAAGAAGGCCAATGGCATTTTGGGATGTATAAGTAGGGGCATAGCGAGCAGATCGAGGGACGTGATCGTTCCCCTCTATTCGACATTGGTGAGGCCTCATCTGGAGTACTGTGTCCAGTTTTGGGCCCCACACTACAAGAAGGATGCGGATAAATTGGAGAGAGTCCAGCGAAGGGCAACAAAAATGATTAGGGGTCTCGAACACATGACTTATGAGGAGAGGCTGAGGGAGCTGGGATTGTTTAGCCTGCAGAAGAGAAGAATGAGGGGGGATTTGATAGCTGCTTTCAACTACTGAAAGGGGGTTCCCAAGAGGATGGCTCTAGACTGTTCTCAATGGTAGCAGATGACAGAACGAGGAGTAATGGTCTCAAGTTGCAGTTGGGGAGGTTTAGATTGGATATTAGGAAAAACTTTTTCACTAAGAGGGTGGTGAAACACTGGAATGCGTTAGCTAGGGAGGTGGTAGAATCTCCTTCCTTAGAGGTTTTTAAGGTCAGGCTTGACAAAGCCCTGGCTGGGATGATTTAACTGGGAATTGGTCCTGCTTCAAGCAGGGGGTTGGACTAGATGACCTTCTGGGGTCCCTTCCAACCCTGATATTCTATGATTCTATGATTCTAAGTTATTTGACACCACCACCAACCCTGGAAAAAAAATTCTGTCCATAAAGTGATACAGCAGTGATCCCAAAGGAGATCATTTGGGGAATGACATGATAACAAGACAGCGCTATGAGTAAGTCAGGGATCCTTAAATACCTTCAGTGGATACCATACCAGGCCAGCTCTATGTCACAGAAAAACTTACTTATTTGATTTCTACCTTCTTCCCAGGTAATGTCTTTGTTTGGTACTGACTTCCCTTGAACTGAAGGAAGTAGATTAGTCTCATAAGGTACAATCCATGAAGCAGCTTAGGTACCTAAACCCCCATGCATGGCACTACTTTGATCTGCAAAACTCCAGCTTGGCTGCCACCTAACCCTGCTTAAATTCATTTGGCACCTAAATTTCCACTGAAAGTTCCCTAGCTCTCTGAGTTTTAGACCGTGCAGCAGGTGGGTGGCTGCCACCCTCTAGGTGCCCGGGCACCTATCTCCTAAGGCCCAGAGTGATTCATGAACTGGGGGACGATAAGCATTTGCCTTAGGTTGCATGTAGGGCCCAATCTTGTAGATGGCCGCTGATCATACCTACTGGATGGGATCCCATTAATCTGGTGGAAAATAGGTGTTCATCTGCCTAAGTAGCATGTGGGGCCTGATCTCACAGGTGGCCTCGCATCATGTCTACCAGATTGGGTTCCATTCAAAATCTAGAGGAGGAGATGGTGGTGGTAACTTTATAACTTTCAGCTCAGTGGTCAGAGCACTCACCTGGGATGTGGGAGACCCAGGTTCAATCCCTCGTCCTCCCCCGCCCCCCCACCTTTGCAAGTAGAGAAGATGGATTTGAAGCTGTTCCACCATGGATAAATAATGAGAGTGATTGGAGCTGGGGGTCTGGACCCAGGGTGCCCTGCGCTACAGAATCATTCTCGCAGGAGAGCCTGAAGAAGCCCCATGTTAAAATGTCCCATAGCTCAGTGGTTAGAGCAGTCTCCTGAGATGTGGGTGACCCCTGTTCAAATCCTTTCTTCCCCCTCTGGCTGACCCAGGGGGATTGAATGTGGGTCTCCCACATCCCAGGTGAGTGCTCTAACCACTAGACTAAAAGCTATAGGTCACCGTCTTCTCCTCTCGCACCGAATTCATTCCCTCAAGTGGCTGCGGGGCCTATGGTGCCTGGATCCAGACAGTTGGTTCCCATTCACGGATCACTCGCTGAACGAGGCCACCTCCCTACAGCCTGGATTTAGGCGCCGATCTCTGCGAGAAGGGAGGGGCTTAGTACACCCCCCTGTTGTTGGCATATCTCTTTGGCTCCCTTCGGCAGTTCCCCTCTTAGCGTGCTGGCTTTTGTGGCTTGCATTCTTAGGGGCCTGTCTCTCCCCATCCATCGTATAGGGAGCCTAGGCGCCTGACTTAGCTTTGTGGGTTGCAGTGTTGTTCCTGTGATTTTTCTAGGTACCTAAAAGCAGTTGCTACGATGCTCCATGCTGCAACACCGAAGTCCCTTCGTGGAGTCCATCCATGCTGCTTACAAGGCCAGTACAGATTAGGTTCCTGATCCAAAGCCCACTAAAGTGAATGACCATTTTCTCATTGATTTAAATGGATTATAGATCTGGCCCTCTCTACAACAGTTTCCCTTTAGTCATTCTAAATCTGCTATTTACCAATTTTTTTTTTCTGTCCAACCTCATCAGCTCTCATGATATCTTATCTTGGGTATTACAGGAGCAGAGAAGAGCTACATGGCTTCCCCCACAGTGAGGGATAATAAAATAACTGGCGGGAGGTACCGACAGAGAACTGATCTTGAGAACTTGCCAGAGAGCTGAAATACTTAATCTCTCTTATGTTAAGGGCTTAGCTAAATAAGAAAGTTGCATCAGTATTTCTTGACTCTGCTTTTAAGCTGATGTAGTTTAACCAGAGCAAAAGGCTCTGTGGACATTCTTATTTCTGCGTAAGAGTGGGTTACTTATATTTAGCTAAACCCTGCTCCTGATCAACTTAAACCCCCTTATGCCAAAATAAGAGCATCCATGCAGCCTTTTGCAGCAGTTTAACTACATTGGTTGAAATTCATGCCCTACATTACACAGGTGCAACTTTTTTGGGGGGTGTGCAAGTGCTGAACTCTGCTGACTTGAGGAGTCACAGTTCTGAAGTCATCCTTGAACCTGGATCTGTTGTGTGACAGCATTGTGATACTTGTACATTACTAGGATAGCTTTCCCTCTCTGTTTTTTTCTAAAAAACTTGTAACATAGATACTTGTCTGCTGTAGGATGAGCTGAAATAGGTTTAAATCAAGAAACACTGCTTCAGATACATTGTTATGTGATTAATGTGGAGGGGTCTTTCGCTCAGTTGGCTACTTGATGGGATCATCCGGGTCTGTATCTC